ATGCCCCTGCCATCCTCAGAGGGGAGGCCTCCCAACCCCATGAAGCATCAGAAACCCGGTCCTGGGGGCACAGGCAGAACGTCTGTCACCGTACATAGTTACAAATTTTGTGTGTGTGTGTCATGAGGACTTTTAATATCTACTCTCAGCAACTTGCGAATACACAGTTAAATATTTTAACTATAGTCACCATGTTGTACATATATCTCTGTGACATTTATTTCATAACTGGGAGTTTGCATCTTTTGGTGCCCCCATCCCTGCGACCACCAATCTGTCCTCTGTATCTATGAGTTTGATTCTCTTTTTTAGATTCCACATGTAAGTGAGATCACAGCGTATTTGTCTTTCTCTGTCTGCTTTCCTTCACTTAGCATAATGCCCTCATCGTCCATCCATGTTGTCACCAAAGGTAACATTCTTTCCCTTTTTATGGTCGAATAATGTTCCATTGATGTACATACACCATTTTCTTTATCCATTCATCCGTTGAGGGACACCTAGGTTGCCACTGTATCTTGGCTGAGCCAGGCTGTTCTTAACCTTGGTTTTCATTGGTGCCCAGGAGGTCAGGGTCTCCAAAGTCCTGGGTTGTCACTGAGCTAGTGCCACTGGGAAGACTGAGTTCTCATTGGCAAGATGCAAAAAGAATAAGCCAGCATGTTGAGATATGTTTTTAAAAATAGGCTTTATTTTTCAGAGCTTTTTTTTTTTTTTTTTTTTTTTTTTTTTTGCGGTACGCGGGCCTCCCACTGCTGTGGCCTCTCACATTGTGGAGCACAGGCTCCGGACGCGCAGACTCAAGCGGCCATGGCTCACGGGCCCAGCCGCTCCGCGGCATGTGGGATCTTCCCGGACCGGGGCACGAACCCGTGTCCCCTGCATCAGCAGGCGGACTCCTAACCACTGCGCCACCAGGGAAGCCCTTAGCTGTTTTTAGCTCACAGCAATAGAAGCAGAAAGTCCAGAGATTTCCCATATCCCCACTATCCCCACTCATGCACAGCCTCTCCCGTAGCGACATACGCATAAATATTTTAGACATAGTATATATTGTTAAAATTACATAGTTATACGAATGTAGTTTTTAAAATCATAGAAAATGGCAAAGACCAAAATACAGCGTATTGTTTCAGATGTACAGATTTGAGGGAAAGTGAGAGTGTGAAGGAATGGTAAACACCCAATAGAACATTGCGTCCAGTCAGTGGATTGTGGGTGGTGATTGGTTAGCTGTGATTAGGTTAGGATGATGAGATTAACGGGAGGGAAAGTCCGGGGGTCCTAAGACAGTGTAAAGCCCAGCAGAAGAAGGAATTCTGGTCAGTGGTCTCTTCTCCAGGCATCCTGGCAACCACTCTCTCTCCGGTGGTTTTGTCCAGTGTCCACATATCTGGGCGGTTCTGGACAGACAGCAGAAGCGCACTTTACTTTTCATTACGGTTTATCGTCAGTGAACTAGGAGAGTGGGAACAAGCAACAGAGGGCCATTTTAGACGTTGAGGTAAGGATTAGTTCATTGTTTAATGGAATTTCTTAGCACAGTGACTGATTCACAAAATACTTCCAAAATGTTAATTTTTCAATGAATGTCAGACTTTTCAAAGAATGGTCACCAAGCACTTGATTTGTGTGTGGTGGTGGATTAGCAGTTATGGAACCCTTTGAGCGAGGGCTTTATAAAACTATAAGCGATTTGTTAATCTACCTTTCATCCTAGTGTATTCATGAGAACTTGTTTGGAGGTGGCTGAAATTCAGGACCCTGACCCTAAGCCTGTACACAAAACAGAGCAGCACCTCAGGTGTGAAGTTCCTAGTGCAATGTGGAAGCAACCTTATTTTATGGTTGGGAAATCCTTCCTCACTACTTGATTTTGGTCATTGAAATTTGAAGAGGAAAGCGTACTTTATTCTAGACTTTCAAATAAGTCAGCCCCAATATCCGACATAGCATGTTCTGACCCTTTCTTTCCTGTTTCTATGGCAAAATTGTCTTTTCTTTTTCTTAATATAATTTAGTATGATAAATTATATTTACTTTTCATGACAGTCTGTGGATTAAGATATTTTCCTGTTGCATTCTATTTGTATTTCCATTAGAACCTGTTTAATTTTTAGTTAGCCAATTCCCCGTTATTTATTTATTTATTTTACCTTTTGTAATTTTTTCTCTGTCCTCATTTTCTTAAGATAAACACTTTGGTAATTCTCTGGCCGTCCAGTGGTTAGGACTCCACGCTTCCAATGCAGTGGGCCCGGGTCAGATCCCTGTTTGGGGAGCTAAGATCCCGCATGCCGTGTGGTGTGGTCAAAAACAAAACCAAACAACAACAACAAAAAACCCAGAACACTTTGGATAATTTTTTTGTTTTTTGCTTGTTTATAACGTGTCCATTTAGACTAAGGAATCTCCCCTGAAGTCAGATTTTGTCCTGCTCCTAAGTTTTAACCCAAAATGGTTTATCTGTTTTTTCTTCTTTATGATTTCCATTTGAATTTCATTTCTGATTTAAGGAATTTGATTTCAGCGATTTGTGCCAGTGTATTTCACATTTTAAAAAATACTTGGTGCTTGCGGGCTTCCCTGGTGGCGCAGTGGTTGAGAGTCCACCTGCCAATGCAACGGACACGGGTTCGTGCCCCGGTCTGGGAAAATCCCACATGCCGCGTAGCGGCTGGGCCCGTGAGCCGTGGCTGCTGAGCCTGCGCGTCCGGAGCCTGTGCTCTGCAATGGGAGAAGCCACAACAGTGAGAGGCCCGCGTACCGCAAAAAAACAAAAAACAAAAAACCCCAAAACACTTAGTGCTTGCCTCGGCAGCACATATACTAAAATTGGAACGATACAGAGAAGATTAGCATGGCCCCTGCGCAAGGATGCCACGCAAATTCGTGAAGTGTTCCATATTTTTATATAATGGAGAGGATTTGAAAATGACTTACATTTTGTGCATAGAGCAAAATAACTGCTTTTGTAGATGGTTTCTAAATCCTGTATAAAAAGTATAGTCTTGACATAACACGGTGCAATGTTAACTGGTTTAGAAGCCATGAATCAGAATAAAAAAGAAAACTGATTTTTTATGAATCAGAGATAAAAAAGCAGTAAAAAAATCCTTAATGTTATTAAGAAATGTAAAAAAGTAGTTATATTTAATTTTGTTAAAATGGACAAAGGGGAACTCTAGATTGTAAAATATCTTGAATTTTCTTTGAGAGCTATTACCTGAATACTTTTTCCAAGTGTTTTCTGGTATATAATATAAGGTCTCTAAATATGGAATGTGCATTTATTAAATATAATATGTTAAGTAGTTGAGGGGGAAAAATCAGAAATTTCTCTATGGCAAGATAGTCGAGCTAAGTCAGAATTGAAACACACATAATATTCCTCCACATGTCCCCATTTGAAGGGGACAGGCCTTTCCAAATGTGCAATTTGCACCTGCATTATACATTAACCGGAACTTCTCAAGGCAGGAGGATATAGTGAAACTTTGAGAAAAATTGTCCCTTTCTTCAGATGCCAGCATTGTAATTTTTTTTTTTTTTTGCGGTATGCGAGCCTCTCACTGTTGCAGCCTCTCCCGTTGCGGAGCACAGGCTCCGGATGCGCAGGCTCAGCAGCCATGGCTCACGGGCCCAGCCGCTCCGTGGCATGTGGGATCTTCCCGGACCGGGGCACGAACCCGTGTACCCTGCATCCGCAGGCGGACTCTCAACCACTGTGCCAGCAGGGAAGCCCCAGCATTGTAATTTTTAACATTAATATTTATTTTTCATCTTGTACATGGGATGTTATTGACCTAAAAGTTCACTCTGTCCGTGCATACCTAACCAAAATATCTCTGATGACATTCAGGTATAATGTTAACCCGTCCATATGATACATAATTCACTGTCTTGAAAAGTATAAAACTGCATCTCTAACTCCTGACCAGAGGAACAGTTCTCAGAGCTTCTGAGAGTCTGTCTCCTGGCTTATCATCTTCGGTTTGGTTCGAATGAAGTACTCTTTTTCTCCTCCTGGCTTGATTGTTAATTGAATTTTCATGGATATAGTGGAGAAACTTAAAAAAAAAATTATCACCTTATTTTTAAAAAATTATTTTATTGAAGTATAGTGATTTACAGTGTGTTAGTTTCTGGTATACAGCAAAGTGATTCAGATTGTATATATTCTTTTTCATATTCTTTTCCATTATGATTTATTATGGGATATTGAATTTAGTTCCCTTTAGTATATAGTAGGGCCTTGTTTATTCATTCTTTATATAATAGTTTGCATTTGTTAATCCCAAACTCCCAATCCATCTCTCCCCCACTCTACCTCCCCCTTGGCCACCACAAATCTGTTCTCTATTTCTGTGAGTCTGTTTCTGTTTCATAGATAAGTTCATTTGTGTCATATTTTAGATTCCACATAGAAGTGATATCATATGGTATTTGTCTTTCTCTTTCCGACCTTACTTCACTTAGTATGATAATCTCTAGGCTCATCCATGTTGCTGCAAATGGCATTATTTTATTCTTTTTGGCTGAATAGTATTCCATTTTATATATATATAATATATATAATATATATTATATAATTATATATATTAATAATTATATAATTATATAATATAACAATTATATAATTATATATAATTAATAATTATATAATATATATAATATATAATTTTGGCTGAATAGTATTCCATTATATATATATCTCACATCTTCTTTATCCTTTCATCAGTTGACAGACATTTAGGTTGTTTCCAAGTCTTGGTTATTGTAAATTGTATCAACTTATTTTTCATTAATTGGTACTCTGTTCCTAGTAGAAGAATATGTACATGTACTTTGAATAAAAGGTAGTAGTTGAGATGGTGGGCAGAGAAGAGGGATGGGACTTGACTGCGTCCTGTATGTGTTCCAGGGATGTACAAAATTCAATGGTTTCCTTTTTGTACTCTCCACAGAGAAAAAGAATCCTTGGGGTAGTACTGGCAGCGATGGACCCCAGCAAACTTTCAATGGAACAGGGCAAAGCGTTCTTAAAGAAGGTTGGGATTCCACAAAGAGATGTAAGTGTGGGAGTTGTTAGGTTGGGCAAATGAGATGTAGAGGGATGAGGTGGCCTCCCTGTCTGGTATCAGTGCTCAGGCAGATTCTCCTGTGCCCAGGGGTGAAATTCAGTGGTTAACAACATGGGTGCACAAAGCAAAGGGTGTTTGGAGATTTAGTTCAACCACATGGCCAATAAGTCAATCAATGAAACTGAAAATTCTGGATACTGATGTTTGTGTGAGCTTCCTGGCTGGTGAACACATTGATGTGCTAGGAGAGGGACGTGTCCTGATTCTGTGTGTCAAGGACATGGAAGCTGTGTTTGGAAACCTCCCAGACCTCACCCTATGTGTAACCTTTATTATAAAACTGTAATTATAAGTACAGCAAAAAAAAAACAAAAAAAAACAAGAAAGAAAGAAAGAAAGAAAGAAAAACAAAACAAAAACATGGGTGCATGGGCATTGGTCAATGAAAATGGACATGCAATGATTAGATGGACAGGACATATGCAACAGCTGTGGCACCTCAGTTCCCACCTGGGGATCACCAGCATTCCCTCAACACTCTGATTCCACTCCTTGCCGCCTGCCCCTTGGAGGTCACAAGCAAACTCATTGTGGGATTGGAGGAAAGAACTTTTCCACTCCAATTAGCATTACATTAAAGAACTCAAGAAACTGGGAGTTTTAATCTTCTGTAATCCCAAGTTTTCTTCCTGTGTTCAGAACTCTGGTTGTATCTTGATTCTCCATCAGATCGACTTGATGACAGAGAAGTGGGTAGTTGATGCCGCTGTGGAGGTTCTGCTACGGTTTCCTCTGTTGCCGGGAGAGGATCCAAGTGCCCGCTGTGTCCCGATTAAGAAATGTCATCCTTCAGTGGTCCAGCCTCACAGAGCTTCCCAAAGACCTGGAGTCCAAGAGGAGAGGTAGGTCAAATGTCAGGCAGTGATGGGGTAGAGCCTGGAGGGTTTCCAACAGGGCACAGGTGTGCGTTGTAGATTTCTGCCGGGATAGAATTTTGACTTGTGTATCCCTCAGCATAACACAGGCTTTTATTTGTGGGTTGCCTGGTGTGAATTTGCACATATATGTGAGCTTGCACAAGCACCCTCAGATTGCTTGTTCCTCTGTGGCTTTGTGCAAGCCTCTGTTGAACACAGGCATATGGTTCAGGGGTCACGTCTGAAATTTCACAGGTGTTCATTAACTTACTATCAAATCTTTGCCAAGCTTTGTCAGAAGAACTGACAGGTTTTCTCAGGAAGAAGCTGTTCTGCGAAAATTGTGAGTTTTCTGAAAATACGTGGGAAAAAAATCCATAGTGGTTGTCTGCCTGTGCATTGGCTTCAATAAATATTGATAGATGTTTAAATGTTGGAGGGAGGGCCTATCTAAAAACCCAAAACACAAGCCCAAGTTTACACTGAAATTCTCAGGGAGAAACATTATGAGCAGCCCTGAGCACAGCCAACTCGCCAAAGCCAGGCATTCCAGGTTGCAAATCTAATTTCACTGTTTGTTCATCTAGGGGCCTTATCACAGGCAGTGTCCCGCTCTGGGAGTTAGTAATGATGGAAAAAGGTCACAAATTTCACAGAATGGGACATCACTTCCTGAGGAGAGACCAACTCATAGTGGGAACGACTTAGTGGTCAGTGAGCCCCCACATTCATTCAGAAGTAGGAGTATGATGGGCTTCTGTCTCTGTGTCTACATACTGTTTTTTATTTTTTTCTTGTGTCTAGAAAACTGAACAGTCAATTCCCGAGGAAGAATGACCAGAAGCCCAAGGACATGAGGCAGATAAAAGGTCACAACATTCACAATCTGCCCCAAAGACCCACTACGGCCCAGAATGTGAAGATGCTACAGAGGGAGCCAGTGGGGCAGAAGACTCCCTTCTCGGGAGAGAAGGGTACCAAGGTAATTGGAGGCTTGGATATTTCAAGAATCAGGGTGTCTGCATGGATCCCAGAGAGTGGTTCTTTTTAAATTAACTTTAAAAAATTAATTTATGTTATTTTATTAATTTATTTTTTATTTTTGGCTGCGTTGGGTCTTCGTGGCTACGCATGGGCTTTTCTCCAGTTGTGGTGAGCAGGGCTACTCTTCATTGTGGTGTGTGGGCTTCTCTTGTTGCAGTGCACGGGCTCTAGGCACATGGGCTTCAGTAGTTGTGGCATGTGGCTCGCGGGCTTTAGAGTGCAGGCTCAGTAGTTGTGGCGCACGGGCTTAGCTGCTCCACAGCATGTGGGATATTCCTGGACCGGGGCTCGAACCCGTGTCCCCTACATTGGCAGGCAGATTCTTAACCACTGCGCCACCAGGGAAGCCCAGAGAGTGGTTTTTACCATGGAAACGCTTGTGGGATCTTTGTTCCCCGACCAGGGAATCGAACCCCTGCCCATGGCAGTGAAAGTGCCGAGCCCTAATCACGGGTCCACCAGGGAACTCGGAAACGCCTGTGTCTTATGAGAGATGTTCTTACTTATCCAAGTCAGGCTGGCCTGGTTTGTAGTATCCTCCCTGGGTGATTGGCCCATCGACTCCTCTGAGGAGCTACCTTATTCCCTGTTCAGTGTCATGTCAAGCTTGGTGTCTGTCCAGTGCACAAATCTGGCTCATTTTCATCACCTTTAGACACTAAATTCTCTTCTCCTTGATCTCTCTCGAAAATGCTCCATGGGCAGCACCATAGTATCTCAATGTCCTGGCAGTTCTAATCCATGTCCTGTATCCCAAACCACTATCCAACTTCAAAAATCTGTCCTTATGCAGGTGACTCTGGAACAACAAAGGGGTTAGGGGCAGCAAACCCTAGTCAGTGGAAAATCCACGTATAACTTTATAGCCAGCCCTCTGGCCCTTTGTACCTGAGGTTCCCCATCCGAGGATTCAACCAACTCTGGATGGTGTAGTACTATAGTCCAGGTTTATGAAAAATATCTGAGTGTAAGTGGACCTGCCCAGTTCCAACCCACGTCATTGAAGAGTCAACTGTGTTAACCTTTGAAACTTGCCTGCAGGGACTACCCTGGTGGTCCAGTGGTTAAGACTCCGTGCTTCCAATGCAGGGGGTGCATGTTCGATCCCTGGTCGGTTGAACTAACATCCCACATGCCCACAGCATGGCCTAAAAAATAAACAACTATAAAATAAATAAATAAATAAAATTTATTATTTTATAATAAAGAAACTTGCCTGTGGTTTCTGTTGACCCCGCCCTCCTCCTCCACCCCCAGGTGAAATGCAGGAAGTGTGGAGCCTTTGGACACTTGGCCATCAGCAAGTGGTGCCCCATGAAGTCCTGGGGTGGGGCCCTTGCTCCCCAGCCTTTGGGCTCCAATAAGAAGGAGAATCTGACACCCACGAACCCCCAGGACCTCCAGACTCCAGGGTCCGTCAACACGGCTGCCAGAGAGAAGGAACCAGAACTGAGGTGAGGAACCACAGGGTCAGAATGAGCTGGGGGACAGTGGTACCAAGGGAGATGGTCTTGCCCCTCTACTCTTTCTATGTAGATCTCTCAGGTGCAGACAGGGAGACTCAAGAGCAGCGTTCGAGAGCTTTGTGCCTTCCAGGGCTGCACACTCAGAGCTCAGTCTAGTCCTGAGAATCATGAAGGGGGAGGGGCCGGAAACTCCCTTGGAATGATGCACACGGCAGGCAGAGAACCACCTCAAAGTATTCAATGATGAAACCACGGTAGGGAAGGAGGTGCTTCCCGGAAGTGAGGGCTGCCTCTGAAGTCATGGAAGGACTCGCCTTTACAAAGGTCACAGGGTCTCGGATGCCTCCTTCACCCCCAAACAAGGGCTAGGACTGGGTTCCCACAGTCTTCTTGGTTCCCAGTCACTGGTGAGGGCTTCCAGACACTTAAGATGAAATGTTCTGCAGGCAAGAGGGGCGGCAGAGAACTCCTCTACCACAGACATGTCCCGAGAGACGCCAAGAGAAGAGGCAGAGACCCTGGAAGGAATCCATGGAATCGTGTGCCTTTGTGAGGGTGAGTCCTGCCCCTGCTCGCCTGCTGTTTCTCCCCTCCATCCCCATTGTGCTTCACTCCTATGCCCCTCATGTGTGCAGGATTATGTTAAACCCAGGCTGGATGCTAGGAGTCCTGTTTTTTTTCTCCCTGTATTTCTCATATTCTAATTTTTTTCTGTGTTTTACATATTCCTTTTTATTTTTTTTCTTCATGGGTTAGGTAATCCAAAATTCTGGTCCCATTTTATTTTTTTTTTCAATTTTTTTTATTTGAATTTTTTTCCTATTTTGTGCAAGTAGGCCAGCAAATGCTAGTGGAAGCCTTTCAGCGCACGTGTGAAGGGTTTTTGTGTGTGTGTGTGTGTGTGAAGTGTTTTATCAGCTTCCTTCTCTGGCTTCATGTCAAGACAAGGGATCATTTAACTTGTAAATACTCCCAATTGCCCTCAAAAGGATAGTTGCTGTTGATACTCTCCACACTGCACAGGAAAATGTTTTTACCCTTGACCTCAACAACAGGCAATATGAGGAAAGTTTTCATACCATATCTGATAGGCAAAAAACTCAGATTGGTATTGTAATTTTTTCCCTTGACCACCTCTGAGGTGGGTATCTCTGCAAATGTGTAATGACCATTTGCGTGCCTTTGTGAAATTTAATTTTGCATGTGTTGTCTATTTCTATTGGGTTGTTCCTCTTCCTCCTGATGCAGAAAAGAATCCTAGCGTATATTGGTTATTTTCTGCCTATTAGTCTGCCAGTTTCCCTTTGTCCTAAGTTGCTTATGATTTTCCTGTTTTCTATTATGATATGGTTGAAACTGTGAGCCCTGTATTGCATGCAGTTTGATAATTCTGACTCCTGAAGTGTCTAAATGAATTTCCTTCTCCCACAGCATCCCACCCGGCCAGTGCCTGTCCAAACGTCCAGGAGGAGATCTGTCCTGGGCCCTGTTCTCACAGGTCAGCCACCAGTCAAGAACCCTAATAGGAGATGATTCTGCCCTACACAGTCTCTCAAGAAAGCCCCTGGGCTTCCCTGGTAGTGCAGTGGTTGAGAATCCGCCTGCCGAAGCAGGGGACACGGGTTCGTGCCCCGGTCCGGGAGGATCCCACATGCCACGGAGCGGCTAGGCCTGTGAGCCATGGCCGCTGAGCCTGCACGTCCGGAGCCTGTGCTCCGCAACGGGAGAGGCCACAACAGTGAGAGGCCCGTGTATCGCAAAAAAAAAAAAAAAAAAGAAAAGAAAGCCCCTGAACTGAGTGCTTGTGGACCCAAGACATGAGGTGGATTCCAGTGCCTTGCCCACCAAGCTCTAAAGAGCTTCTGCCGGGATGCCTCTCTCACAGCCAAGTTGACAGCCAGCAGGCCTGATGGTGTCTCCTGTGACGTTCTGCAGTCTAGCAGGAAGACACTCACCCTGGGCTGTGTCTGTGACCTCCAGGCACAGGTCAACTGTCCTGATGGGGATTCGAAGCCCAACCCACAACCTGCCACACAACAGTGTGGCCAGAACTGTGAATGTAGCATCAAGGCATGATTTGAGAGGTCTTCCCAGATCCCCTCCAGACTTGCCAGAATTCCCCACAAAAGAACAAGACTCAGCCTATCCTACAGCTCCCAGCCCAGTTCTCCGTGACCTGGTCTGGGGCTGACAAGCTCTTCAGCTTCCCCTCGTACACCTGGACTTGGGTCCTAACAAGCAACCCCACGTGACCAGGAAGACACCAGCCTTGATGCCCAGCTTTTTTTCTTTTTTTTTTTTCTGGCTGTGCAGTGTGGCCTGTGGGATCTTAGTTCCCCAACCAGGGATCAAACCTGCACCCCCTGAAGTGGAGGCACAGAGTCTTATGGACTGCCAGGGAAGTCCCCTGATATCCACCTTTGACCTGCAGACTCCATCCGACTCACGTTGCCTGAGCCCAGTCGAGATTTGCAGTGTCCCCAACACCCACCATGAATGTTTCAGGCCAGCTGGACAGAACTATCTTTATGAGACTGGACAAGCGATGGCCGAGCTCCGAATCTCAAGTGCTCTCATCTTCCTCAAGAAGTCTACACTTGTTGGTCGGAGCCCTCACATCATAGAGGAGTCTGAGGGACAGGTTCTTCAGTCCTAGTAAGTGTCCTCTGTGAGGACCTCCTGGTCTCTTCCTCCCATTGACTGTGTGACCGCCCCCCTCCCCACCGCCATGGAAAGAGGCTCAACCTCAAGCCTCACGTGATTGGACGAGACTGAAAGACTGAGGATTGGAAAGATATAGGAGTACCTGTGTCTGGTGAAGCAGCACTTCCCCACGTGGTACCTGTGCAACTTCTGGAACTCCAAATACGACTGGGGACTAAGGGACAAACACTGCCTTTAAATTTTGTAAATTCATGTTGTATTTAAAATGGAGCTTGTGAAACTGTCATATGTAGTCCTTTGTCAGTTACGTGTATAAGAAACGGAGTCAATACAAGGAAACCGTGTTACACTGTAATGTCAGTAGAGTGCTATGAAATTCATCTGTGTGGGTGAATAAATGAAATTTGGGTAACTGGACAAAAGGCCTTTTTATGATTTTGGAAAAGGTCTGCACTTTTTAAACAATGTTTCCTGTGTGTAGAATTTTTGACGCTGTGGAAGAGTTTCAGTAGAAATTCTCTTCACCTTGGTTAATGGGAACTATTTTCTTAACCTGGACAGTTTGTTATCAAAAACCATTGCAACGTTATGTTTGATCGATTTCTTTCAATATTAATAAACTTCTCTGAAATAGAACATATATTGCAGGTGTGTTGATTTTTCCTTATCACCTCAGGTCAATTTTCTTTATTTTTTTAATCAAATTTTATTGACCTGAGTAAAGAGGACCTTGGTACCTACAGTGAAATCCAGGGCCTTGTAGCTTGTAAGGAATACAAGTTCTCAGGCATAAGCCAGCCCTCTTGAACCAGTATCTTGGTGCTGAGTGACAATTCCAGGTGTTTCATATTTAGGTTGAAGTGTGACAAGCATAATTATGTAGGTTGATAAGCACGAAAATAAGCTGTATCTGAATTTGCACATCAGAATCACATGGTGAGTTTTAAAAAGTATAACGACTTGTGCTTGCCCCCAGAGATATTTATTTATTGGGTTTGGTTTGAGACATGGTATGAGAATTAAAAATATGTATATTCAGATTGCCAACAAACACATGAAAGGACTCTCAACATCGCTAATCATTAGAGAAATGCAAATCAAAACTACAATGAGGTACCACCTCACACCGGTTAGAATGGCCATCACCAAAAAAATCTACAAACAATAAATGCTGGAGAGAGTGTGGAGAAAAGGGAACCCTCTTGCACTGCTGGTGGGAATGGAAATTGATACAGCCACATGGAGAACAGTATGGAGGTTCCTTAAAAAACTAAAAATAGAACTACCATATGACCCAGCAATCCCACTACTGGGCATATACCCTGAGAAAACCATAATTCAAAAAGAGTCATGTGCCACAGTGTTCATTACAGCTCTATTTACAATAGCCAGGACATGGAAGCAACCCAAGTGTCCATCAACAGATGAATGGATAAAGATGTGGCACATATATACAATGGAATATACTCAGCCATAAAAAGAAATGAAACAGAGTTATTTGTAGTGAGGTAGATGGACCTAGGTTCTGTCATACAGAGTGAAGTAAGTCAGAAAGAGAAAAACAAATACCGTATGCTAACACATATATATGGAATCTAAAAAAAAGAAAAAAAAGGTTTTCAAGAACCTAGGGACAGGATGGGAATAAAGACGCAGACGTAGAGAATGAACTTGAGGACAAGGGGAAGGGGAAGGGTAAGCTGGGACGAAGTGAGAGAGTGGCATGGACATATATACACTACCAAATGTAAAATAGATAGCTAGTGGGAAGCAGCCGCATAGCACAGGGAGATCAGCTCGGTGCTTTGTGACCACCTAGAGGGGTGGGATAGGGAGGGTGGGAGGGAGACGCAAGAGGGAGGAGATATGGGGACATATCGCCACCAGGGAAGTCCTGGGTTTTTCTTTATTTAAGTGGACATAAGGATTGTGAAACACTCTGCACTTATGTATAACCTGCATCCTCTCTGGAAGGAGAGGGCAAAGATAATGCCCCACTAACCCATCCTCTCCCGTTTTCAATTTTTGGGGAAACTCTGCCCTGAATCAACAAGAGTAAATGGCTCTCTTCAGAGTGTGATTTCACTGGGAGCAGCAAAGGAGATGTCCCCTTTCTCCCTGTGACATTCTGTCTCAGGAGAGCTTTTCTGTCTCTCCAGGACCCTGTCCCTAAAGGCCATGTCATCGCATTGAACTACCTCAGTCTAATCTAAGGTTTAAATATATATATATATATATATATATCACACCAGTGCTGTTTCTTCAACGTTGAGTACCCAGGTTGCTGCAAAGAGGATTCCTTGGAAGCAGAAATAACACCCCTA